TATGAGTAGAATATGAATGTTTTGACATAATAACTAAGAAAGTTACATGAAGGCTATGTTAACCAGTTTGATGGAAGTGTCATGGATTGTGTGAAAACACCACACTGTACCCCCAAAGTGCATCAATGTACACAGTTACCATTCAATAAAAAAAAAAATTATAAAAAAAAAAGAAAAGAAAATGCCATATAAATTCTTTTATTCGATTCAATATTAAACCATTTGCAAAGGATGATGAACAGGTAAATAACCCTTTCACACTTGAATTTCAATATTACCTCTTTAAATACCTTCTGTGGATAGAAGCAGAGGAATCTTGTCCGTTAGTTTATTACTGTCAGTAAGAAAGGCAGGTCCGGCATCAGTTATTTTCTAGTGAAATGTTGATGATGATTCCTTTTGTGTCCACTTCTGAAAGCATAGGAAATTATATACTTTCTGAATTATCTTGATAATGCACTGTTAATTATTAGGCATCACCACTGTCTTTGTTGGCCCAATGTAAATTTGTCCCGGTGTATATAGGAATATTTGACATGAGATAGCAATCAAGAAAATGTGAATAAGTGCATTACCAAAGTCCATATTTATTCTTTTCCTGAGGAAAAAATTTTCTTTTGATTTGTAATTCCTTCTCTTGGAGTAGGAGGAAATCTTTTTTTTTTTTTATTTCGGTCATTTCTAATTTATTAAGGTTAGTTTCATGGCAAAGCCTATGGTGTAATCTAAAACTTGTTTTATGTGCCCTTGAAAAGTACACGTATTTGAGTTGTCAAGTAGGTTATTCTATAGATTTCTTTTTTCTTTCCATCTCGGTAGATCATAGCAATGTTCTGGTCTTCTAATCTTATTTTGATGTTCTGCCATGTTTTATCCATTACCAAAAGTGGGTACTAAATTTTCCAGTTATTTTAGTTGAGCTGTCTGGTTCCATCTTTAATTTTGTGAGGTTTTTGTTTCATGTATTTTTAAGTCTGGTTGTTAGGTCCATTTATGTTGATAGTTGTTATGTGTATTGACTGTTTTTCACTATAAAAAAGATCTTCCAATCTTTACTAATACATTTTTTGTCATGAGGAATATTTTATCTGACATGAGTATCGCACCCTGCCTTCTTTATGATTTGGTTTTCATCCTTTTTTCACGCTTTTTTCACTCCACCTTCTTTATGATTTGGTTTTCATGCTTTTTTCCTCCATTCTTTTGCTTTTACTCCATTATTATCTTAAATACAGAGTAGAAAGTGTGTGGGTGGATCCTGTTTTCTTATCCAATCTGCCTTGATACTATTATTGATATGGTTGGATTTATGGCTAACACTATACCTTATTTTGCTTTTGGTCTCTACAGATTGCATGCATTTTTCCTCTATTTTTCCTCATCGTTCTATGCTGCATTAAGTAAATATGTTCTAATGTAATATTTTATTTAATATGTTCAGTGGTTTTTCAAGGTATTTTTGCTTAGTTTATTAGTAGTTGTTTAGGGCTTTGGTATACAGCTTATCTTCTCTAAATATATTTTAGATTTATACTAACTTAACATTATTCATTCATAGCTCTATTTTTCTTTGTTTTCTTCCTACTGTTTTTGCACATGTCACATCATATGCATTTACAGTCTTAAGAACACATTGAAGTAATTATCACTGGATATAATGTTATGCCTTTTAAAGCATCTGAAAAAAGGAAGGATGGCAAATACATACATCATGAATTGTGATACAACCCCCCTTCTTTACCACTCCTGGTTCCTTTTATTTGTTTTCATAGATCTCATTCCCCTCCGGTGTTATTCTGTTCCTCTCATAATAGCTCTTCTCCCACCTACATCATTTGTCCTGCTGTCACCAAATATATTGCATTTTGATAAGTTATAGGCTCAACAAATGCAATTATATACATACCAATTTGCATTTTTTAAAGTTAAGAATGCAGAAGAAATATGCAGCTACATTGTTCTGCATAATTATATATGTAATCGCCTTTATTGATGATTTTACTTGACTACTTAATTTATCATCTGCTTAATTTTTTCATGACTTGAGTTGCTATCTGAGGTCACTGGGATTCTACTCAAAATCTTTCTCTTTCTTCAATAGTTCTTCTAAGGTCATTCTTTTTATTTTTGGCAGTTTTTGGCCAGGGCTGGGTTTGAACCTGCCACCTCTGGGATATGGGGCTGGCACCCTACTCCTTTGAGCCAAAGGCGCCACCCTTAGGTCACTCTTTAAACTTTGAATTCTCTTCATTTTGTCTCTCTGGTAATGTCTGTATTTCATGTTTAAAGAGTTTTGCTTGTACTAATTTTTGGTTGACAAGTTTGGGGGCTGTGTTTTTGTTTTGTTTTTGTTTGCAGCACTTTAAACAGGTCACGGTGCTGCCTTCTGGCCTTCTCTAAGGATAAATCAGCTGTTAATCTGATTGTGGCTCCTTTCTATGGAATGAGTGCTTTTTTTTTCTTTTGCTGCTTTCAAAATTTTCTCTATTTCTTTTTGTTAACATTTTTAGTATTATACATATATTTAATGTCTCAGTATGGATCTTTTTGCATTTATCCTATTTGGAGTTTGTTGAATTTGGATGTGAGTTTTCTCATTAAGTTTGGGAAGTTTTCAGTGTGTGTGTATTTTTAGACAGACTCTCACTTTGTGGCCCCAGGCTAGAGTGCTATGTTGAGCTGCCTAGCTCACAGCAACCTCAAACTCCTGGGCTCAAACCGTCCTCCTGCCTTAGCCTCCTCAGTAGCTGGAACTACAGTTGTCCACCACAACACTGGCTAATTTTTCCTAATTTTCTTGCTCTTGCTCAGGCTTTTCTCAAGCTCCTGAGCTCAAGAGATCATGTTGCCTCACCCTCCCAGACTGCAAAAATTATAGACATGAGACACTAAGCCTGGCCTCAGCCTTTATATTTTTAAAATACTTTTCCTGTTATTTTTAATCTCTCTTCTCTTTCTTATGCTCCTGTAATATTGCCTTGGTGTTTAGGATGGTTTGACACATTTTTCTGAGGTTCTATTTATTTTTCTGCATTCATTTTTCTGCTCTTCAGATTGCATTAGTTTTATTTTCTATCTTCAGGTTTGCTTATAGTTTCTGCTTTCAGCTGAAGAGTCACTGATATTTATTTTAGTGATTGTGCTATTCAGCTGTAGGCTTTCCATTTTGTATAATTTTTCTTTACTGACTGATATTCTTTGTTTAATAAAGCATTGCCCTTATCCCCATTAACTTTCTTAATCGTAATTGCTTTAGTTCCTTAAGCATATTGGTTATAGCTTCTCTGAAATTTGTGTCTGTTACCAGAAATCTTGGTCTCTCAAAGAATTTGTCTGCAAACTGTACAATGTAGATAATATATTATAGTAAGTATGAATACTAATCCCCTCTGATTATAGTTTTCTTGCCTGTTTCTAAGTGAGGAGCTGGCTGGATGATTTCATTAAGTCCCTCATGTTGCATCACAGAGGCACAGCCTTCAGTGAACATGGTTTTGGGAGGGCTGTCCCTCCCCCTGTTCTCCGTCCCCCCCCATTCTCCATCCCTCCCCCGTTCTCCGTCCCCCCCATTCTCCATCCCTCCCCCTGTTCTCTGTCCTTCCCCCTGTTCTCTGTCCCTCCCCCTGTTCTCTCTGTTTGGTTGTCCACCAGTGTTGGTATCACACTCAGCTGTTACTTCCCATTCATCAATAACTTACTCCATTGCATTTGTCAATGTCCAGGGTTATAAGTTATTCCATAATCTGATCTGATTAAATTCAATTTTGGGGACCTCTTTGCATACCTTCCCTGGCAATGGAGACACATTTGCTGATGGTGGTGAATGCATCTTATTCCTATTCTATAAATTTACCTTTCTCTTCCTCCATAAACCTTTTCCATACTTAGCTTAAAAAGAAAAGAAAATTCAGTTTACTACAGGGGTAGTCTTCCAGTGCAGGCTTTGTGAGTTGTTACAATGTAGGGGCTATTGTTCGCTGTTCATTTCCTGGTCTATTTTATCAACTTCTAGCTCTTCTTAGTTTTGGCTTGTTGATACTAAGGCATGGACAGCCTCATGTTAATTGTTTAACACAAAATCTCTCTCACCTTTAGGTTTCAGCTTGTCTGCCCTCTGTTCCAAATAAACTAAGCTTTTTGAGAAAGCTATAGTGTTTTGCATTCTTGATTCCCTCCCTGGGTACATTTCTGTACCACTTCTGTGGACAGGGGCAGGAAGATGATCAGGTTCTTCTGGAATAGAGGCCTTTATGGACGAGGCACTGGGTGTGAGGAGCCGCCCCTGGTGAGCTGCACTTACAGCTGCAGGCTAAAGGGAGGAAGGGAGCCCCAGACACCCTGTCTCTCAGGCCTATAACAGAGCACTCGTAACACAGATCTGGGGAGTGGGGGATGTTCGAATGCTGGTCCCCTGCCCCTCCCGGAGAGATCATGTAGCTCTCTGGACAGGATGCTGCAAGGACAGGGACCTCTGTGTTCCCGTCTGCAATGTCCCTGAGTGGAGCTCCCGGCATAAGGAGTTAAGGGTGGAGGGAGCTCGTCATGGCCGCAATGCTACCAGCTCTTACTCTTCCTAAAGAAATTGAGTAAATAAGTTTAAACGAACATTTCTCCTCTAGCTGTGCACCATTAACAAAATTGCTAGTTTCCTTTAACCAGACTTCAAGTGGTTGAGCTTTTCAAACAATTTTTTGAATTAAATAACCATGTATGGCTATTTAATTTGGGAGAGTCTGTGTTGGCATGATGTCACCATTCTGAAAGTATCTCTCTTCAAATTAAATCAAATTACCTTTGGTGTCAGGATGTGGTTGTTGCTCTGACTTCAGTTATCCATGTCAAGAATAAATACAGGATGATACAGATATATTGATGTTCCCAGTTTTGGAGTTCTTTTTATAATAATTAGAAGAAAATAATTCACTGTTTCTGAAATTACCAATTCATTTTCAAATGCCATGCTGAAGATATTTAAAAAATTAAATTTATGTAATGAAATAAAAAAATTATATATATATATAAATTTTTAAAGCTAAAATGCTGAATAGTGAAAGGTTGGTTTTTAAGACAAGAAAATAGGGCTCTAATGACAAGTGAGACCTTTTATTTTTAAATATTTTCTAATGCAACTGTAATCCTGTAAAAATTGCCTGCTCAGCCTATTTAGTTTCAAAGCCCTCAGTATTCATTTTGACCATAAGATTAATGCGCGGGGGTTTTCTTGTTTTGTTATATTTTCTCTCGGCCCTGTAGAAAAGAGGAAAACCAGCCTCCTGGACCAGCTGACCAACACCAGTGGGACTGTCATTGGTGTCACCTCCTGCATCGTGATCATCCTTATCATCATTTCTGTCATCGTACAGATCAAGCAGCCTCGTAAAAAGTACGTGCAGAGGAAAGCAGACTTCGACCAGACGGTTTTCCAGGAGGTGTTCGAGCCTCCGCATTATGAGTTGTGCACTCTCAGAGGGACGGGAGCTACGGCTGACTTCGCGGACGTGGCCGAGGACTTTGAAAATTACCATAAACTGCGGAGGTCATCTTCCAAATGCATTCACGACCATCACTGTGGATCACAACTGTCCAGCACTAAAGGCAGCCGCAGTAACCTCAGCACAAGAGATGCTTCTATCTTGACAGAGATGCCCCCACAGCCGGTCAAACCCCTCATCCCCCCCATGAACAGGAGAAACATCCTCGTCATGAAACACAACTACTCCCAGGACGCTGCAGACGCCTGTGACATAGACGAGATCGAGGAGGTGCCGACCACCAGTCACAGGCTGTCCAGACACGAGAAAGCCGTCCAGCGGTCAGTATCTATAGATTTTTTGATGACAACTATAACCTGAGGACTGTAATGCTTCCAGAGTATTGTCTTCTATTTTGTCTTCATATTTCAGTTTCCCTTTGATTAACGATTTCAGCGGTAGTGTTTTAACTTTTTCGTTCTTTTTCCTATTCAGGGCCATCCATACACTTAGTAAGTCCCATCCATGTGCAGGACACCCACACACAGGCCAAAGATACTTCATTTATTCTTAAACACATGCAAAGATTTATTTCTACAGAAGTGATGGGTTTTAATTTGTATTGATAATTTGATTCCACATGGTAATTCAGACTGCTCCTATCAATATTTATATATTTTATGGTATGAAATGATATTTGGAAACACTTTGCCTTACCAAGATGGCTCACCCATCTTGCTGAATAATTTTAATCCAAGATTAAAATATTTTGCAATATAATATATTTATTTTTGGTATGAAAATGAAAATAACATTTATTTCACGTATCACAGAATACTTACATTAGGAATTACATATGATACTAAGGTATATTTAGCATTTATTTTTAAGTATAGCAGAAATTATTGAAAGTATTCAATGTGTCTTCCTTTTACTATAACTAGAATATCATCTGTGTTATATCATGAGCCCTAAGATAAGTAAAAGTTTTGAAGAAAAAAATAAATGAAAAAATTATTTTAAATTCCAAAAATCCATTCTTCCTATGCTTTGTTTTGCATGTTTACTAGAATATAGTTTATTGTATAAATTGACATACTTTCTGCATTCATTATACATTCTCAAACCTGACTAATTTAAGGAATTTGATACATTTTGCATGCTAATTGAAGAAACATCTACTTTCACAGTTTTATGAATTTTAGGAATGTTCTTAGTAAATATTTGTGTGAATATGTTTATTTCTGTGCAAATATTACTTTGTTGAATGAAATAGCCATAACATTCCAGGTTCTGCCTCATTGGGTCTCTAAGCAAACATGAATCTGAATACAACACAACTAGGGTCTAGAAAGAAAATTCAAGGTAAGCAAATGCCCTTGGGTTCTTCTCCCACTTTGTTGTACTCTGTTTTGTTTTGTTTTGTTGCAATTGTCTCCTAGTCTTTTAGGGAATGTGCTATTTATTCATCATTTCTGGAGATGTGTGTTTTCATGACATTTCATGATTAGAAATATAATGCACATTTCATTCATTGCTAATGGAGGGATGATTCTCAGGATACATAAATATATATAAAATAAATGTTAATATTCTCACCATCAAGCACTGTATCAAAATGTTGTTAAAAAGAAATCAAATAAAGCTAAAGTTTTCATCTTTCAAGGAAAAAAAATTAACGATTCATAAAATTAATGAAATTCTTGGAAGAAATACCAAAAGAAACCTAAGATTTTTAAAATAACAAAATTAGAATATTCAGTCTCAATGTAGCTGAACTAAATATATGGAACTGGTAATTACTTATTTATATCATTTGGCAACATTCTACTCCAAATTCACGCACTAAGTATTTGGTGGTTCTCATACAGTTTATGCAAATTCATACACTGAGTATTTGGTGGTTCTCATACAGTTTATGCAAATCCACACACTGAATATTTGGTGGTTCTCATATAGTTTCTGCAAATTCACACACTGAGTATTTGGTGGTTCTCATATAGTTTATGCAAATCCACACACTAAGTATTTGGTGGTTCTCATACAGTTTATGCAAATCCACACACTGAGTATTTGGTGGTTCTCATACAGTTTATGCAAATTCACACACTGAGTATTTGGTGGTTCTCATGCAGCTTATGCCCTCTTATTTTTGCATGCATATGTAATTTTATTATCTCATCAAAATTTAATGCAACATGTTATGTCAAATTTTATATTATAAAATTTGAATGCTCAGCAGTGTAAAAGGTTCCATCAATACAAGTTGTCTACGTGTACATCTATTTTGTCATCAGATATCACAATGGCTTTATGTTTGTACTTGATAGTCTATATCTATATTAGCCTAATGGGTCTCCAATTAAATTTGCTTGACAGCTAATCTCTTCAAAGCTCTTCCAGCCTATTGATTAGTCTTGAATTAGATGAGTGAATTTCCATGCTTTAATTACCTTAATAAATTGGTGTATTTGTGTGCATTTTTCATTGGGAGAAAATGTTTTAACTGTGTTTTATTTTCAGAGAAGAACTATTTATACAAACATGGGGACTGTGAAAAGGAAATTCTATAGTGAATTGTGAAAAGTGGACATATTTCTAAATCCATTCCACTGCCTTTATCCAAACATAAGAATTACAGACATTTGTTATTCCTTCGGCAAGACATCCCCGCTGCACAATGATATGTTCATTTCGTAATTTGGTTGCTGGCCACCAAGTGCTCCTTAGTTTTTAAATACATTTTAAGATTTACTGGAAACTTGAAGAAGAAATTAATTCCTGATTAAGACTATCCCAACTTTATTTTTACTGTCAGTTTCACTTTTGTTTCTATGTTGTTTTATGTCTTTGTTATATAATTGTACATTGTGTGATATGTGGGAAAAAAAAAAACATGAATTTGGATGAACCTTGTGTTACATATACATTGTTTTCATTATATAGACTGCTTGAGAATAGTGCGTTCCTGAGTGATTTTGAACATGCCGCAGTGACAGTGAAAATGTGGACCATGGGAACCACCAGCTAGAGGTCTATGGACTGTGCGCACCTATTGTTACATGATGATTAGATGCAGCAAAAAGTTATGAGTCAAATTACTAGATTGCAATAAGAAAAAAAAAATCTCATTTTTTTTGGTCTTCCTTATATGCCCTTGATTTCCTTTTTGTTTTATATCAAAGGGAAATACCAACTTTCAGAAGTAGTTTTTGAGAGCAGGTATTTCACCTCTCATACCCTGCATAGAAATGTTTTGATTAAGCACTTAGCAATACGACTGTACTGACAGTTCAAGAAAATACCCTGCATGTCTGCTCTGGATATCTCAGTTGGGAAAATACCCTTTTTGTTAGACACATTGTAAAAAGCATGCATTTTCCAATACTGCTGTTAAACGCTTCCATTTCTTTTGGTCATATGCTTGCTACTTGTAACTTTTTATATAAAGATATATAAATGTATAATGATTTCCTAACTTGAGTTAAGAGAAATGTTTTCTTCTCTCAGAGTGGTAGAAAGTCGACTCTTACAAGTGCGCATTTGATATCAACTCTCCCCACGTTTAGGCCACAGGATCCTTCAGTACTGAAGTTGACTTCCCCAAAGATTTGACTTCCAAAAGTTTAGGGAATATGTTCTCCTTTTAGAATAGGAAGGTCTTTCTTTTAGCTGCTTTAAAATCACAGGCTCTTTTATGACCTCAATTGTACCATTCTCCATTGTTCTTAAACTCAGGTGCAAAGACACCAGAAGGATTAGTGATTATGACGTAATTCCTACAAATGAAGGAAAACCCTAAAATGCATTAACTGTTTAATTGGATACACACTCTGCCCAGTTTGATTTAATGAGTGTGTACTTTAAAAAATACCAAATAAATAATCGGTTTTTTGGGGTTTTTTTTGTTTTTTTTTTTTGGCCAGGGCTGGGTTTGAACCCACCTCCTCCGGCATGTGGTGCCGCCGTCAAATAAATAATCTTTAAAAAGCTTAAAAACAGTATTGCTATCAATCTGCTTACCAACAGTTTCAGACCTACTGAATTATGCAGGTTAAAATAATTTTATCCTCCCACAAGCATAGCAGTCTGATCTACCATAATTCAGACCTTGCAACTAAAGCAGGCTTTACAAACCACATAGATAAATTACTGTTATACATCTCCATTAGGAATTTAATTTCACATATGTTTTACAAAAAAAAAAATACAGTCAATGGAAAACAATATAAAATTTTATAATAGAAAAATCAAAAGCATCACAATTTTGAATAATGTATATTGAAAAAAGTCAACCTATATAAATCATTACTATACTGAATTTGATAAACTGGGGAATACAAAAAAAATGTATTGAACATGAAAATAAAAAAAATATTTTTCAATGTTATGCTACACATTTTTGTACACATTGCTTGTGATAAAAGGTACACTTTTTATTTGGCTTGACCAATTTATCACCAAAGGTTATTTTTAAATGATTAGTCATATTCCATATTTTTTTCACCTTCAGATCTCTTCATGGGACTCCTTTCACTTTGAGGGATAACCTCAAAAAGTACAACATACACGGGAAGACTTTATTTATAACAGCAATAAAGATAAGAAAATGCATTAGGTGAACCTTTCTCTAGTCACTTGTACTGTACCTGTCCACAGAATTTCCATCTCCTCCATTTCGTCCTATATAAACAGAATGCTGATTCCCTGCTTAAAGGATATTTATACCAGAAATACACTAATGGAGACTTAAAAACCAGCAAACTAGAGTAAGTAAAATAGTAAAGATGACTAGTTCACATATATTTAATACTCCACAGTTTCACAGGAAAACAAAACTATTTCAAATGAAGAATTAGACTTCCTCAATGGTAATACTAGAATTGTTTAACAGCACGGAAGTCCTGACTAATAAGGAAAGAAGAGAATGGAATGACAGGGCAGCATCCTGGAGGCGTGTGGTTTTCCTGGCAATAACCAGATGCTAGATCTTGAGAATGCAAAGCCCAGCAGGGCTGGCAGATGCTCTCTTGAGGGCCCTGGAGGTGCCTATTTATAAACCAGGATAGCAATTTTTCAATATGTTAATGACTTCTCCTTAATGGGTACATCGGACCTTCTCATTCAACTTTTGGCTAACATGAAAGGGAATGGCATATATAGATAAGGAATGAGATGTTTAAAGACTTTTAAGTCACATTATTTTAATAAATATTATTTTTTGATACCATGAGTTCAACTATTATTAATACAAGTGCTTTATGAATTCAATAAGGTGGTTGAAATAATGTTTCAAGTTAGCCCACTGTGTTACTTTGATAAAGCTATTTTTAAAATTTTATTTTTTCTGTGTTTGAATTCACTTTCCAAAGTCACAGTGGAACATCCTAATTACGAGTATCCCGTGGGAAGCCCTGGCTGAGCTTTGTACTGCTGTTCAAGTGCCCTCCTTAGCTGACTAATAGGAAATGTTCTGATTTGGAAATCTGATTTTTTGAGTACCTGTTTTAATACACATGTCAGTTTTCTGTATCACAACGCAAAACAGACGCACGTCATGTTTGATTTGCCATAATTAATCTTGATTTGTTAGATAAGCAGAGTGTGACTATAAACCTAATTCAAGATTAATATCTTTGGCCTATTAATGGAGAAAAGCCCACGTTGTGGAGATGCTGGCTTTTCTGATGCACTTCACTTTTTTTTAAATACTAAAAATATTTCAGTAAGTCTAATTCACTCCATAAGCTATGATTCTTAGTGTTTCATAAATTGAGGTCTTTGACGTTAATTTACTATTCACTTAAGCCACTGCATCAACTTATTCCATATTTTTCCCTTAGGAATTTAATTTGGATTTTCTTCAAGTTTTATGGCTTTAAAAAAATCCATAAATGGGCTTTCTTCAACGTTAGAATATCATACATAATAAATTGCAAAATGTAATCCTGCTTCCCATTACCTTTATTAAAGTAATGACAAATAACTTATCGATGTGTTGGCAGTGAAATAAATAACACCATCTTATCATGAAGTTTTTATATTTCAGTGATGGAAGTGAGACATGTCAGATTCCAACTCTGGAAGGAGGTTATACTACATATAAATAAAATCTTCAAAATTCTCTTCACGCCACGTGAATGTGATATGAATAGTGGGTTTCGGTTTTGTGTAACTCTATTGAAGTGACTTAGTTTCTCTGCCTTCTTTCTCTGCTACCCTTCTCCCTGCTGGTTCATTTCTATCTATCATGCTCTGGCACAAAAGATCTAGCAAGAAAAAAAAGTTGTAAAGTAGATGAATAATAAAGGAAACAGATGAGTTAACTATTACTCTTATCTATTTAATTAGTATTTCCCCCCCCTTAAACATTGAATAAAGTAGCAAATACAAATAGTTAAAATAGACAGCAATAAGTTTTTATAAATAATCCCGTTCAATAAATCTGAGCCCCTTTGTTCATTTAGAAATAGCATGATTCATTTCATTAATGAGTTTGTTTAAATTGTACTACACATGTCTCTGGTTGAATTATATCATGGAACTAAATAAAACAGGCAACAAAAATAGCGCCCAAAAGTGACTAAAGTCAGACATGAGTAACAATTCATTATTTTTCTTATAGCACCTGGTTCTTGTGCTTCTCTGTGTGTATTAAAGAGCTAAACGCCTTCTTAAAATGCTCTAGTTCTTCAGAGGCAGGAAAAATAAACTCCACCTGCTTCTGACTTCCATCATTTCCTCAAGTTGCTTTCCAGAAGGTCCTTGTTCCTAAGCTGTATGATCCTATAGTTGAACCACCCCTTTATGTCCATAATAATTGTACAGTCAACCTGTTCTCTTTCCCAACTTCTCCTCTCTCGGATCTCGGAGGCACATTATTTTACAGTGTTTCATTTTTGAAAGTTGATTTTGTGCCCTCCCTTAATAGTCACAGATACTGACATAAAATTTAAAAGTGAACAGAACACATAATGTATAAAATTATTTAAAATAAAACATTCTTTTATATCACAGCATAAAATTTGGACTCTTTATTCACTTTCCCATTAATTAAATTTGATATCAGTGTAGCTAGCCTTTTTGAGCCTCTACAAACTAAATACTGAGCTTCTTCCTAGCTACTTTGGGGATAAAAATGAAGACGGTACCCTAACAGGGGATTTAATTGCATAGTCTAATAGAAGGAAGAGTTCCCAGAGCAATGGTATAAGGAAAATTAAACCCCAAATTATTTGCTGTGTTGATCATTTTGAAAAGCTGAGGTCACAGCCCTGTTTAACTCCTCCATCCTCTCCTGTGGAAGATAAAACTTACTCAACTGTCAAGGACTGCCATAGAGATGCTGTTTTATAATCAAGAAGTCAGTAGCAGAAATGCGTGGATAAAGATATCTTCTTAGGAGGATCAAGACAGGCTTCATAAATAGTTGACACTTTTGGTAGGTCTTGAAGGATGGAGATCATTGTCGAAGTGGGTTCGGGGAGAAACTCCCACCTAGAGGAATTAGAGCCGGTGCTGTCGTAGGAGGTCATTCATTTACATTGGCTGGAGTACAGTCAGGAGAAGTAATAGTAGAATTGGAAAAGTGGTTTGGGGTTTCATCACGAATTCTAAGCGCATAAAGTACTGTCCAAAGCAGTCTGCATTTTATTTAAGGGAGAATATTTTAATATCTCTCAGTAAAGTGTGGCTTAAAAGTGGTCCTTTAAGTAGAAACCTCTGACAAGGGTATGTTTGCTAAATTGAATGATTGGCATTGAATAGAGAAAATCAAACCAGTTTAGAAAGAAGACATTAAAGAGTAACTGACGGATTATTAGGCATCTAGGAATATTTGTCTGGAGTTTCTACTTATTTTCTATTATATTTTATCATTTCCAGGTTATGACTGACTAGTGAAGAAATGTGTGTCACATGCCAAACCCCATTCTTGGTGTTTCACATGTAACCGTTTCCTCGATCATCTTAGCAGTTTTATGAATACTGATAATAATATTTGTAATCAGTTGTACACATGAGGAAACTAAAGAGAGTTTCTGTACATTTTCTAAGATTGCACATAAATACAGCTCTGAAAAATCAAGCTAACTGCAGAGTCCAACGGTGACCTTTATTATTGTGCAGTCCAACTCTAGTAATATCCGTCATCGTCTGTTTCATTGAAAGAATTGATGCCTATCCGTATCTCCCCCACAGATTTGCGTTTCCTCATCTGTAAAAATATGTACCATAGCACCTTCTCTCCACCTTACAGAGTGTGAAGATCAAATGACTATACATTGGAAGATATTTTTATAACCTATGATGCATTATAAAAAATAAATCATTTTTCCTAAACTGTGTGTAAACTTCATTTTATAATCAACATGAAACAAATGTATCATCTAAAATGAGCAGCCATGAAGAATAACTTCCAGCTTCTCTTGTCCACAGTGGAAGACAAGACTTCCAGGACCCACTGATACTTACTTCCTCAGAATAATGTTCCCTCCAACATTTATTTTATAACATCATGTTCTTGAAGTGTTACTCATCATCTATGAACAACATTGAATGCTCGAGTTCCTGACTAACCCCCACAGCCCCCATCATCAAGTGTACAAAGAAATAGCAACACTCTAAAAAGAACCCTGTTTTTCAAACACAGACCACTGTTTGGCATAAATTCCCATAATAGTATACTAGTAGATAAGAAAGCAAATAGACATTTGTGTAGACTAAGGCAGTTTCATAACCAAAAGTGTCATCAAAAACTGTGCTGTAATGTGATGAAAACAGATTTTTCAAAAGGTCAAATTCAAATTCTAGTTTCATTTCATGCTACTTACATGCTCTTTAAAAAGTCCTTTGAATCTTCTGATTTCACTGTA